TCGATTCTGGTCAAGGGCACATGCCCCGGTTGTAGGCTCGATCCCCAGTGGGGGACTTGCAGGAGGCAGCTGATCCATGATTCTCTCTCATCGTGGATGTTTCTATCTCTCCCTCCCTCTTCCTTCCTCTCTGAAATCAATAAAAAATATATTTTAAAAAATTATTTTGAGATTCTAGACACAGAGAGAGGTTCACAGGTCCACGGAACTGCTGACAGGGTGCTGTTTGCGACAGACCCCTTAGCACAAGAGGGAGAAAGCTGTTGTTCAACTTGGCCTTGATCGTGTTAAAGGGCAAAATTCCCCCAAGCACCCTGGGAGAGCCGACGGGCTTTGCTAAGCGACTCATGAGTCAAGCAGCACCCCACCTAGCACCCGAAAGGCCGGTTTCCTTGGGAAGGTTTTTATGGGAAGAGGGTGTGGCAGAGAAGTTAGTAGTAAAAGAAAAGGAAGGGTTCTTTTTAGCCAGGACTTCTCTCCAGTCGGCTTGTCTTCCTTGCGGGTGGGAGGAGGGGGTCCCTGTCACAGATGACGGGCTGGTGCTTAACCAGAAGGTCCCGGCTGGTTAAGTAAGACTATGTTTCTGGGAGAGGTTGCAACTGCAGTTAAGTCAGGCATTCACTCTGCATTTGGTATCATGGGCTTTTAGCACCAGTGACTCGATTGGGGGCTGTGGTTTTCTCTTCAACAATAATCCGCAGGAAGTAGGAATGTTCGCCTCGAAGCCTGCAGTTGCCGTCCCCGGCCCAGTCCTTGCCAGGGCACATCAATGCCCCTCCCAGCGTCTAACTGATCTCTTCTGTCCATCGAGTATCAGCTCAAGTAAATGGGGCTAAAATTTTTGTTTAGAAAGCTATTTCATATTGTCTACACTTGACATTTAACCTACATTTGAAGTGTTAGAAATAACTGTCATAAATATATACTTAACATAGTATGCCACGGTTAGCGATTCTGTCATATATTTCCACCTTCTAAGTCTGGGCTCTTATATATCGGACCTTTTTTCATGTTGTTACAAAACATCTATTTATGTTTAATTGTGTGATACTTAAAGCACACAGAAAATTACACAGAGAGAAAATAGCAATCACACATTTACCTACCCCTCCCTGATTTAACAAATGCTAAAATATTCAGTGCTGAATGTTAAATTTATAGAATGTCAGCAGTGTCCTCGCCGCCCCACCAGAGGCGGTCACGCTTCTGACTTCGATCATCGTGGGCTGGTGGCACCTGCTCATATGAAAGGACTCGTACATTATGCCTCCGGTTCCTGGCTTCCTTCACTTATGACACTGTTGAGATTCACCCATGTTGTCACATGTACCTGTGACTTACTGCTCACTAGTAAGTCCATGTGTATGAATTTACCAGTTTGGTTCTACTTCTTTCAACAGCACCCTGGCCCATGTCCCTCCTGCCCCTCCCCACTGGATATTTTAACATTTGTTAAATCTGGGAGGAGTAGGTAAATGTGTGGTTGCTATTTGTTCTCTGTAATTTTCCGTGTGCTTTAAGTATTACATAATTAAACATAAATGAATGTCCTGTAACATTAAAATATATGAGAAAATCCCTGACTGTGGCTTACTATTTTGAGTATATATTCATGACAGTTATTTCTAACACTTCAAATGTAGGTTAAATGTCAAGTGTAGAGTAGTGTAGGTGTAGACCTGAGGGGTGGTCTGCCCCTCTCCAGCTCACACCCATGTCCTAGGGCCCATATGCCACCTGGTTTCGAAGGCACCAGCTGGGTCTAAAGGGCTGAGGGGGGCCAGGGGGGCGTGTCTTCTGGGTCAGCCAGGCCTAGAGGTGGTGGAGGGGGAGAATTTGGGGATTGCCTCCCAGGGTGGTGCTGGCTTTCTGCCCCTGCCTCTGCTCTATGGTGAACCAAGGACTTCCTCAATGCGACTTCTCTTCCCACTTCAAGGCCCTGAGTAGTTATTAACTCTTCACTGAGCAGCCTTCAGCGAGCTGGTGCTCAGCCCTGCGATTCAGCGGCTGCTCAGCCCCACGGTCCTCCTTCAGCGGCTGCTCAGCGATGGCCTTTGGAGCTGTGCTCTTCCTGGGGGGTGAGTGGGGCCCCGGAGCTGGGAGAAGCCCTGGGGGCAGCTCTCCCGGGAGCTGAAGGCAGGGGAGGGCTGGTCCACGGGTGCGGAAGGAGGACTGGCTTGCAGTCTGGGGAGGGTGAGACCTGAGCCGAGGTGGGAAGAGGGGCGCTGGGTGCTGCTCGGGCAGAGGCGAGCTGCCTCCCACACCCCCAGCACCCCTCTCCCCTGGGTGGGCCTGGGCGGGCGCTGGGGGGTGAGAGGAGCAGCCCCAGCAGCCGGGAGGGGAGGCCACAGGAGCCAGCAGAGAGGGGACGGCTGGGTACCACCGGGTACCCAGTCCTGCGTCTCCCTCGAATCTTGGTTTCGGGTTGGCACTCGCGCTGCTGCCGAGAGAAAACTCTGGAAGTTGGAACCGGTGTCAGGCCCACATCCATGAGTCGTTTAAAAATCGGTCGTGTGTGTGTGTGTCTTAAAGTCTGACTTCACACGCAAATCCCGATTCCCGGCTTCTCTTGAGAAGTGGGAAGGCCCGGCAGCGCTGGCACCGGCGCCGGTGACGGCTGCCCCTGGGGAAGGGCCACGTCTCTAAGCGGCCTCACTCCCGGCCTCACACCGCCCGCTTCTCGCTCATGTCACCCTGAGGCCTGGACGCGAGGCTCCTTGTCAGATCCTGGGGGCAGCGTCAGGCTCGGCAGAGCCATTCTTTGGCAGGAAGGCCTAGGACGCGAGGCTCCCCCGCACGTGGCCATCTAGGCCCCAGATCCCTCAACTTCTGTCCTCCTCCCGAACCCGGGCATGAGGGTCTGGACCCTCCCTGTCTCGGCCCAGCCTGAGGCTTGGCTTCCCTAGAGTTTCCCTGGCCTTGGGGTTGCAGTCGGGTCCTCAGTACAGAGAGGACTCGGAGCTCTAGGAGGGATGGGGAGGGAGGGTGGTTGCCTGGGATGGGGAAGCAAGAAAAAGCCCGTGAAATGTAGGGGTTTCCCTGAAGCTTTCGAGCGTAGCCACCAGAGAGGAGCCTGTGGCCAGTGAAGGGCCCCGAGAGAGGGCCGGCCTCCTGGCTGTGCTGGTGTCCGGTTCTGGGTCAGTCAACAGGCAGCGTTCGTCCCCGGCTGAGGGCCAGGCACTGTGCCAGGCTCCCATTCAGGACAGCGCAGTCCTGGCCCTCTGAGAGCCTGGCGCCAAGGGAGAGGGGCAAGGAGACGTATGACTTCAAATAATGAATCACAGACTTCTTTTTTGTTTGTTTGTGTGCTTTTGTTGTTTATCCTCATCTGAGGATATGTCTCCATTGCTTTTCAGAGAGTGGAAGGGAGGAGGGAGTGGGGGAGGGAGAAATGTTGATGTGAGAGAGACACGTCGACTGGTTGCCACCCACACACATGTCCCACAATCAAACCCACGACCCTTCTGTGTGCTGGCCAGCTCTCCAACCACTGCGCACACCGGCCAGGGCTAATCCCAGAATTCTAAGTGTGTTCTCCAATCTGGCCCTCAGGGCCTCTGGATAAGGAGGTGAAGCAGGGTGACCATACGCCCTGGTTTGCGGGGCAGCCCCAGTGTCCCTGGTGTCATTGTTGATGGTGTTCCTTTCACTCCCAGAAGGTCCCCATGTAGACAGTAAACCCTGTGGTCGCTTTGTCTTTAAAAGGCGTTCCTGATGCAACATCCCAGGCGGTGCCGGGCCTGATTCGGGTTCTGGATGCCCTCTGAGGGTCCCGAGGGGCCTCCCTCTGCCTCGCTGTCCTTCGCAGTGCGCTCTGATTATTTCTAAGGGAGGGAGGGAGACAGGAGCCACACAGCCGGCAAACCAGGAAACAACGAAGACAAGCAGATGGGAAACCCAGGCTGCGGGAGGGTGGGCATCAAGATTCCAAGAAGGGGGGTCCACAGGCGGGGGGCTTCTCTGACCCTCCTCCCTGCCCCTCCGCCCCACATCCCCTCAGTTCTGGCTGCTTGTCACGGATTCAACCTGGATGTGGAGGAGCCCAGGGTCTTCCAGGAGGACGGAGCTGGCTTCGGGCAGAGCGTGGCCCAGTTTGGCAGATCTAGGTAGGCCCCCCCCTCCCCTCGCCTCCCGCCACCTGCAGCAGGTGGCTGCACCCAGGTGTCCCGGGGGAAGCGCAGCGAGGCCCGGACACCCCTATTCACAATCCCAGGCCGGGCCACACTCTGGGCAACACATGGCCGTGGGGGAGAGACCTCGAATCTGCCCTCCGGCACTGAGTTTTGTCTTTTCTTTGTTTGCTTTGAAATGTAACACACAGACTGAACAGCAGAAATCCGAAAGGCCCAACTCAATACTTTTGCTGTGTGTGCCAGGTAACCCTCCCCAGATCAACACGGAGAACAGCTCCAGCTCCCCATCCCCAGGCCCCCCGGGGGCCGGGCCCCTGCTGATCGCTCCGCACCCGACAAATCCCAAGGCAGCCACCGTCCCACTTCCTTCACCACCACGTTGTGTTCAGGCCCCTCTGTCTTAAAAAAATGAATATAGAGCTACTGACTGACCACTGTTCACCGCATCTATAATAAAGTAAATAGTGTATATTGGGTGAGATTCCCATTGTTACAGGGTTATTGTTTTTCCTGGTCTCTGCTGAATTATAGCCCAAATACTGAAAAGACGGAGCCTACGTGTGAGGAATGGGATAAAGAAACGCACGCAGAATGATAGTTTGACTAAAAGTTGGCTCGTGCTTGGAGACCAGCAGGCCAGGCTGCTCCAGGTCTAGCCGGCCGCTTAGGTTTCCACCAGCATCTTAGACACACAGGGGGCTCAGCGCTCCCTACAGGAACGGCTCCAGGGAAGGCACTTTAAATACCAGCTTAACGAAGCCTTGCTCGGCTAATTAATTAAAAGACACCAGTATTTCTCTGATTTTCTCATCTAAGTGGGGGAGTTGTTGGTGGTGATAAATTTTTTTCCAAAGTTAAAAAAATTATTATATAGGATAGATATAGTTATGGATTCTGATATAGCTGTAGCTGTTTTAAATTGTCCAATTTAAATTGTTTATATTATATTTTTGTATAATTCATTACAGAATCATCAGATTGTTTCGAAAACTAGGACTTCAGACAATTTTCCATTGAACTTGAGGTGATCTGTTTCTTGGGGTGACTAAGAATGATGGCACCCCAGAAACAAAGGCCACTTACCCACAGTTGGGAAATGCTGTTTTGTTGTGAACAGTTTTATTTTTGGCGAATGTTAAAAAAAAACACACCCAAAACAACCAAACCATTTGTGTACATAAATACACATATATTCACACACACACACACACACACACACACACACACACACACACGACGCCCCCGTGGTCCTTCCCATTTTGTGGATTAAACTCAGGCCCTGATTTTTGAGTCGCCTCACAAATGCCAAATGCCAAGAGCAAAGTTTCACTT